GGTACCGGTGTGTGACCTATGTTGGCGGCAAAAATTCTGCTAGTTCCCAGCATTTCTTTTTATGCTTTGAAGTGGCTTGTAATATTGATGGTGTTCTGGATGTTTAGTAGCATTCAGACGTGGAAATAAGGAGACTGAATATGGACGGCGTCGATCTAGTTTGTGACAACATTTCCCTCTTAATTGATGTTCATCACCGGAACAATTACTGGATAAATTGCTATCTCGTTGCAACCGACAGGAGATTACTCACATTGCTCAAGACGATAGCACACCGGACTTCATTCGCAACCTTCCGGAAGGTTTGACACCAATGTGGCCGATTGCATAGCCACATTCTGGCGCCTGGAATTACCTAATTGCTTCGACGCGTGCATTGTGCGAGATCCAGCATCTTACTGCTCAACGATGCGCACTGGACAAAGGAGTGAATGAATTGTGGGGTCTTCACTAAAACCCGATTATTTAACCTACCAGGATCGTTGTCGCAAGTCAACTTTCAGCGATTCGAAACGCTAATTTCATCGCACCGACTTCGAGACCGGCACCCATGACTTACTGGTTACACCTTTGGGAAGGCAGATGCAAGCAGCTACTCGTTAGATAAACCAGCTAAGCGTAATGGCGACCGAGGTCGGCGATATAGTCTGAGAGTTCATAGCCTATACCAATATTAATGCAATTACATTGGAAAGAATCTTGATAATGGTGCATGTAAGCGGCAAGCAATTCCTGCTAGAAGAGGGAACGCGCCTATACATGTTCTATGGTGGTTGGGTTTTTGAAGTGGTTGTTGTGATTACAGCAAGCGCTGGCGCCAATTCCAAGCTGTTGATCAAGACATTGCCACGAGATCGGCTGCCTGCTCAAAGACTGTAACCATGTCTACGCATTTTAACTCAAAACGTTACTTTGAAGTATTATTTTTTTTCTTAAAATTCGTTATTTCGAAGTGTTAATAAAATACATGACAAGTAATAAGCGGTTTTATTACACCTCACGCTTATTTAAGAGTAATGTATTAATACAATACAAAATATGTTTAAGATACATTCTATGCGTTTAGTTAGTACCATGTGCACTGCTCGTCAAAGAGACAGAGGCTTCATTTTCCTGCATTGCAGCACTAAATATGTTGCAGACCCGCGTACAATCTACGTTCCTGTTATTCCAAGTTTTAGTCAAACAGAATATATCTTTTACAGATATTAATTATTAATGCCAATACGTGCAATTATGCTCATTAAATGGGAGTCTAAATCTGAGATAAGCATGCAACACGAACTTTCCTAAAGCTCTTTTTTGTTTACAAAATCGTGCTTCGCTCAAAGAAGCTCTGAAACTGGGCAAAATCCATTCCATATAAGCTTGAATGCTCGTACTCCCTTTGTCGGTGCATCTTTGCGCCTGCTTCGCAGAGCAGATACTGCGGCTGCGAAGCAGCTCTTTGAAAATACAAAATTTGTATATGGACATCTATACTTAATAAAGATGCCCTGGTCATCATTGTGGACGTTGTATCGATGTTACATGAATTGGTGGTATAAATGCCCGGGCATTCTTTCACGATGCTTGTGGTTTCAGATTGGTGTGCGAAGCACGCGGGCTTAAGCATAGCTAAACCCAACTCGGACCAATAGGGTTACTATAATATGCAGGAAGATCTGGTTTGGGTGTGATCGAATCCTCCAATTTCGGCGATTTGCAGTCCGTGACACTCGTTTTCATTGTTGTCGCTACACTCTTTTCCATCAAGTGAGGGACGCCAATAAAATTGAGCGCATTCTAATTTTTTTTATGAAGAAGCTCAGAACAAATTGTAATCACGTGTTACGAGTCGTCGTTTCCGACGGACACTATTTGGGGCAAAGCCCCCCTATAATGAAGCATACACTTTG